GGGTTGGCTATGTCATCCTGAAATTCTTTCGTTGTTCTTTGTCATGGAATTATTTCACTTCTCCATCATACTTGAAAGAGAGTTTTGCAGAATATAGTATTTTGGGCTCGAATTTGTTTTCATACAGGACTTGAAGTACTCTGCTGCATGCTCTTGCCTTCATAATTTGTGAGGAGAAGTCGTCTGTATTTCTGATGAGTTTTCCTTTCAATGTGATCTGCTTCTTTTCTCTAGCGGCTTTCAGTATATTATTCTTGAGCTGAATTTCTGGGATCTTGACTATTATATGTCTCGGTGTGTTTTTAATTGGGTTGAGGTTACTTCTTGTCCCGTGTGCTTCAGTTACCTGGATGACAGATTGTTTCCTCATATTTTGGAAGTTGTCTGTTATTACTTATGCCCATAGATTTTTATTGTCCTTCATAATGACTCCTTCTTTCTCATTGATACCTATTGGTCTCACGTTGTTCATCTTTTCACCGTCTTGCAAGTGTTGAATTATTTTTCCCTGCATCCTAGTTGTTTTTAAGAGATCCTTTCTTACCTTTTCACTAGCTGCACCAGCATCTTCAAGATACGAAACTGTCTTCACTTTCACTTAAATGGTTTTGCAAGGTAGTGATTGAGATTTTAATTTCCTCTATATCTCTTTGATTTGGCTTCATGTGATCTATTTCTTTCCTATATTGCTCATTCGAGTAATCCATAATTTTTCTATTCTCCTCTATTTTTTGTCAATGTCTTCTTTAGAAGCAGTTATTCTTTTACTGCAGTGTTTTCTTCAGATTGGTTTTCCTCCCTATGTTTCTGTAGTTGATTTTTACTTCAGATTCTATGAGTTCAGAGAATTCTTTTTTTTTATTTCAGAAAAGAATTGTGCTCTGAGTTCCTCTATAACTTTCTGCTGTTGCTCATTTGTTATTGAAGCTATTCATTCAAACATTTGAGCTGAGCTAGTTGAAAAGAATTCTGCTCTGAGTTCCTCTATAAATTTCTGCTTTTGCTTATTTACTATAGACACTATTAATTCATACATTTGAACTGAGCTAGTGTCCTCTGCACTTGTTCTGTGTGCACATTCTGTTTCTTCCATATGTTCCTGCATTTGATTCTTTACTACAAATGCTATTAATTCAGGGATTTCTCTTTTCCTTTCCAATCTAAGTTCCTCTATACCTTTCTTCAGTTGTTTCTTTATTTCAGAAGCTCTTGATTCATTGATTTTAGCTCTGTGATTCTCACTTTGTTCTGTGTTTGTGTCTTTTGCATAGTTATGGGTGGACTTGGGTTCTGAGATTGCATTTTGCTCCTTCTCATTCTCATTTTGTGTAACAGTGTCTTCTGACCTTTGCTGTAGATCTTCGTTGTAGTTATAACCTTAGCACGTACTGAAATTCAGGTGCAGATCTACAAAGTTTGGATTTATCCAGCTGTGTGTAGATTGGATCTGGCTGCTCTGATCAGCTCCTTACTGCTGCCAACTTTGGGAGTGAACCTGTTGTGCCCCTCTGGCAAGATATTTTGCTCCTGGACTAGCTGGGTGATTCTATCCCCTCCTCTCTCTGCAGGGATTGCCGCTGCAGGGTTTCACCCCAGTCTTTTATGTGGGCCCTGAGCATAGTCTGACAGGGACAAGGTGGAGTAGTGAAGAGAGGAAGCTCTCCTACATACTCATTGGGCCTGGACTAGGACTGGATCTGGGGGTCTCCAGAATGTGGCACATATTCTCACTTGGCGGGCAGGTTGGGGGCTGCTGCGGAGTGGTAGAGGGGTCCCAAGCTGGTGGAAAAGGGTCTCACTCATGCTGCGCCTGGGCCGGGAGGAGCTGGTCCCACTGGGCAGGGTAGCAGATAGCTCTCCCACACACTTACCGGAGCTGGGCTAGGACTGTATCTAGGGTTCCCCAGAACACGGCAGAAATTCTCATTCTGTGGGCAGCATAGGGGAGTGCTGTGAAGTGGTGTGTGTCGGGGGGGTCCCAATGGGGTGGAAGAGGGTCTCACCCATGCTGAGCCTGGGCTTGAAACGGCAGGTCCCACTGGTGCCGTGTAGCTGGAAGCACTCCCACACACTCACGAGGCCTGGGCTAGGACTGCATCCAGGGGTCCCCAGCATGCGGCAGAAATTCTCACTGGGCGGTGGTGTGGGGGGTGCTGCAGAGTCGTGGTGGGGCCTCTCAAGGTTGTGGAAGAGGGTCTCAACCACGCTGAGCCTGGGCTGGGACTGGCAGGTCCCGCTGGCGCAGGGCAGGGGGAAGCTCTCCGTTGTGGACAGTTTCAGTAATTGTCTTTGTAGTGGTTATTCATAGTACAAGATGCAGACATGATGTGCTGTCCCAACACTATTAGCACAAAACTTTCTTCTCATTGAATTAAGCAAAAGTAGCTGTATGTCTATCCTAACTATTTTATATATACAGATACAAAATGGTCCTTCATTTGTATCTCCTTTATATTGTTTAGTTTTGTCAGAGAAGGGTTTTCCATTGCCATTTAAATATTATAGGTGCGTGAAGTCAATGAAATAATCCAGTAGTCCATAATAGTAGTGGGTTATCCATAGGACTAGCAATGTCAGAAGTTGTTGACTTGAGCCCTTTACAGCTCAACATATTAATATGGCTTTACTTTTCATACCTCATTATTATACTTTTCTGCTGGATGGTTAAAACCAAGATAAAGCAAGACCTACATAACAAGAAATGTAACTTTTGTATCTGACAGGGTCAGTCAGATCCTCTCAGCATTTAGCTTGAAACCCTGTATCGCAATTTGTAGATCCTTTGTCAGTGCCAGCCATGTGAGTGAGTCTCAGCCATTGCTTGACCACTTTGCTCTCTGTGAAAGCCTGAGAGAATGTTTCCTAAATTAGTTCATTATTTGTTTTACACAAGGACTGCTTCATTAAAAATGCCCAGTGAAATCTTTAAAAAGAAAAGAAATGAAACTGAGAAAATTCCCTCTTACTACACAAGTTATATAAGGTAAAATAATCTCTAACTTAAAGTAAAAGAAGTACGTTGCAAAATTATGTGTACAGAATACTATAGTTTTTATGAATAACATACTACCTAGGTGGTTTTATGAATATGGTATTTGAAGGGACATACAGTAATATCATGGCCTTGTGACACTGTATTCTTTTTTTTTTTTTTAGTAATAGTCTACAGAGTCTCACTATGTAGATTGAACTCATAGTGATCTACCTGTGTTCAGCCTCCCAAAAGCTGGAATTACAGGTGTGTGCCACCATGCCCAGTCTCAATCGCTGTCTTAGTGCACCCCGAGAGGCAGGGCCAGCACAGCAGGCCCAGGATCGAACCTACAACTCCTGTGTCTGCCTAAGCAGGCACTTTAATCCACTGAGCTATTTGGCTGGCCCTTACTGTATTCTTCCAGTGGGTAAGGGGCAAGAATAAATGAGAGACTTGGCTGCATAATTTTCTATAGCTTTTAAATTTTGAATTTCTAAATTATTGCTTTTTAAAAGAGTTATAAATAATTTATATCTTTATATTTTTATACATTCATATAAGTATATACATACATTATACATGGATTTTTTGTAATATTTTAGATAGTTTTCATTGTAGTTCTTTTGAAAAGGTGTTATATCTCAGGGTGAGGAGGTAGGAAAAATATGTGTGGTGGACATTTACCTTTTATATTACTTAATTGTAAAAAGTGATTTAATAATTTTAAAAATCAAACACACATAAAAGATCTAGTACTGTGAACCTAGGATCATTGGGCAAATAGAGGAAGGCACTTTTTTATAATTCAGCCATAAATACAGGAAAGACTCAGCCCTTTTAATTTGACCTTGAAACACACATTTTCTTAATTCTTTCAGATAAATTAAAAAATAGGACCACACCTTTCAAAGACTCAAAATGAAACAGTAATCTGACCTTAACTTTTAGTCATTTCTATGGAGAATAACAAAATTTCCCATATCAAAGAGCTAATTAAGAGGCAAAGAGTTTGGAAAGATAGGCAATGGCCATTTATACAACTATTATGAAGATACATTTTTTAAGATTAAAACTATAAATTATTGACTGTAATATATTCATTGCCAGGATAAAACAGAAAATTCCAAACATTGTATGTTCAACTAGAGTAAAATATACAAGTGCTAAAGAATAGAAGGAAAAGCCCTGCAACGGATTTAATTTTAACCAGTGTGCCTGGGCTATTTTTGTTCATTGTAGCTGTTCTTGGACAAGCCCCATGCCAGCTTAGCAGCAGTAGAACTACATTTAGCTCAGTCTGTTAACTAAAAGACACCATTTGTACAGCGTCTTTTCAGTTAAAACTGTGGGTCCAATACAGTTTAAACTCTGGATACCAAGGCTTATTTCTATTGGGAAATGTAACATGCTTCACTGGGGATTAAGAAGTGTACAGCCACTTCATACTCCAGTAGAGTGTGGCTAGACAAATGGAAAAGGGTATGAAGATACATCTTACCTTCAAAACTGTATAGTCTTTGAGACTTTTGACAAGATCATGATATTTACAGTCAGAAGACGAGAATAATAGCTACATTATTGATTAACTGTATTACTTTGGTTAAACATCTACCCCAATATTTAATCCACTATCCTATACTATAACATATCTCACTAAGCTTTCTAAGAAAATAATATATAGTATATAAAATCGTGTTGTAAAGTGTTGTGCAAATTATATATCTATCATGATAATGACATTTAGTTAAAGTAGCTTGTCATATATTATCACAAAGAACATTTTACCATGTATTCACAAAATCACAGGGAAGTATGGAGAGCAAACAGCTTATAGAAGGTTCCTGGCTCAAATTTTGGTATTTTCACTTATTTAGGTGCATGGAAAACTAGTAGCAACTAATACAATACAATACAATACAGAATTTTGTAGTAATAGATAAATAAGATAGAAATTTATCTTTGAGACTTGTCTTTTGAACTCTTAAAAATGGATAAAATTTAACATAAACTTTTTTTAAATTTTCAGTTATCTACCTCATACTCTACCATGCTATCTTTGTGTTTTTTGCCTGGACCTACTGGAAGTCTATCTTTACACTCCCACAGCAGCCAAACCAGAAGGTAAGAATATGGGTTACTTCATAAAGCATAACAATGGAAGAGAGCAGAGATGTTAATAAAGGAAGTAGACAAAAATAAGAACAAATAAGCTTACATTAAAAAGCAACATTAAGGTTTTTTTTGGTTTGTTTCTTTCCTTCTTTTTTTGAGATGTTGCCCTGGCTAGATTCCAACTCTTAAGCCAAAATGTCCCTTCTTCATGCCAGAGGAAATAGGAATAGAGGTATATGCCACCCTGTTCAATTCAAGGTAATTTTAAAGAAGGAATCATAATGATAAAGGTGACTTAAGGGTCCAGTAAGATATTAAGGGAGTTCATGAAATCACTAGCATTGTATACTGTTCAGACAAGGAGCTGGGTAGATAGTGACAAATGCCTGTAATCCCAGCCCTTGAGAGGCTGAGGCAGGAGGATTACCATGAATTCAAGGCCAGCCTTGACTACTTAGGAAGCTTAAGGTCAGCCTGTACTACACAGTGAGACACTATCTCAATAAACAAGCAAACAAAGACAAGGAAACTATTGCATGCATTGGTGATTTAATCATAAAAAACTCAATTAGATTCTGAGACTCCATCTAGCTTAATGTTATGAAACTATATTTAGTACCCAGCATGTCTCTGGCAGGCAGTTTTGAGGAAAAAGAATACAATAGTTAAATCAGTAATTTCCAAGTTATATCCTCTTGAAACTATGAGTTTCTTGTAATATTAGGATAGAATCATGAAAGAATTTGTCATCATATGAAGCATTTATTCTGTGTCACTAGTCTAAACTATGTTAGTCTCCAAAGCACACAAAACAATGGACGCTACCTTACCAACTTCCAAACACTAAGTAAAACTCTGTCACACATTATCTCATTCACAGAACCAGTATGATTTTAAAAATGAAATTATACAAAATCTCCACCCAACATGATCAAGCTGGCCCACACCAAACTGCACAGCACACCCAGACACACAACTCAAGCAATAAAGCAACCACCCAAAGAACTCTAAGCTGGCTATACATTTGCATTTTCCTTGGCACATGGTATCAGAGTTGAGGAATAAGCAACTGACATGTTCATCACAAGGATATTGTCCCAGGACAGAAGAGAACAGCCAGAACCTGCAGTTGTTGGTACTATGTTCACCAGTCCACTTGAAACTAACTCCCACATAGCCTACATCCAGCAAAGACCAGAGGACTGCATGTGTTTCACATCTACCAATGAAAGCAAGGATACAATCACATGGACATTAGCCACACTATGAGGAGAATGCACAGAGAAGCTTGTGCTTCAGGCAGGGAATATCATGTTAGGTGAAGAAAACCATGGTTGATTGGATCCCAAGATTACAGATCTTAGAAACAAAACATTAATTTTTTTTAAAACAAGAAATTTTTTCTTTGTCTTTTATCCTTCTCTTTTTTATTATGTTTATTTTTCTTCTATCAGGGTATTTGAGGATATATTATTTTATTCTTCCTCTTTTATTTTTTCACTTTCTTTTCTCCTTTCAATTTTTTTCTTTTTCTTATATTCCTTTTATTTCTTCTCTATTGTTCTCTGTTTATCATTTCTCCTTGTTCATTCTTTCTTTTGACTGTTTTCTAACACTACTAATTTCCTTTTCCTCTTCAATAGTATCTTCATGTCATTTTTTCTCATCATATCCCATTGATAATTTTTTAATTTTTTAATTTTCTGCTACTCCAACCCCTCTACTTTTAATAGTATAATTACTGAACTTTATGAATTTCTAAATAGCTAGTTAAATTTATGTAATGGCTGTTGAATACTGATTTATGGTTAGGAGCGGTAAAGTTGTATATTTATAGTAGATATTTACTATAGCCTATAGTAGGTCAATATTAGGGTTGTCTTGGTCTTCATACTACAATTATAGATCTATTTTCTGTAAGTAAGGATAGTGTATAAATTGGTCTTTGGGCTTTTTCTGTATTTAGTTTGTATTTAATGCCATAATTCATGCTGATTTTGTTACTGTATCTTAGATAGCATAGCCTTTGTGTTTATTAGTTCTTTGGGATACCAGTATTTGGATTTCTTGGGACTCATTAACTATATTGTGTTTCATTCCTGGGAACCTGTATATGCTGCAACCTCTGATCCACAGTAAAGAGAAATAATTGGGTCTTAGATAAGGGGTAAAAGCAAGTAGTTATCAAAACCAAGAGTACATGACTTAAAAAGGAAACATTAGTTAAAGAGGTCTCCATATTACAAAAAAAGCTCTTCACTACAATCAATATGCAATCCTCAATACAGTGAAACAAACTAACAAAAACTAGAAACATGAAAAGATAAGCCAACAAACTGCTTCCAAATACTCCCAACTCACCCAAAGATTATGCATGAGGCATTGAAGGAAAGAAAACCAAATGCTACACACAAATTATTTTAAGTTATATCAGAAAAGATATTAACAACAACAGTAAGACAGAGAGTAAGGAATTAGGCAAGATCAAAGACAACATATGTAAACAGATATTGGGCCACATAAAGAAGTCATTGAGTCTACAGAAGACACGCAGAGAGAGCTAGCAGGGCTAAACAAAATGATGCAATGCATGAATGACCACCATAGAAAAGAATTTGAGGGCCCAGGAAGATGGCTCAATAGAATATTAATATTGCAAGGCAAGCACAAGGTCCTGAGTTCAATCCCCAGTTCTACCAAAAAAAAGAAAAAAAGAAAGAAAAAAGAAAAGAATTTGAGTCCATCAAAAGGTTCTAAATAGAAACTCAAGAAATTAAAAATTCTATCAAAAGAATGGGCAGCAGAAGTGAACAATGTGAGAACAGAATTCTAGAATAAAAAAGACAAGTATGTTGTCAGTGACAAATTAATGAGAGATTTATTTTATTTCATTTTGAACAATAAAAACAAAAAGAAAAACAAACACATACAAAGACAGCAAAAGGGTAACATACAATGCATGTTACAAATTTTTAAAATAAATATAGAAAATTTATAATAGTTGTTATGTAACCTATTTTTATCATCAAATCTTTTCCTCAGATATAGTTATGCAAGATTGGGCAAATAAATTTATATTAATGCTTGCCTTCAATAAATCTTAATTTTTTTGTCTTTTATTTTAAAGAAAGTATAATAATAATTGGTAAGACAAAATGGTACACATTTAGAAGACAAAGATGAGAGGCATTCAACCATGGCTTTTGTATTACACATTTCTTTCTTCAATATAGTTGCTTTGTTTTTCTAAAATATTTTTTAAATAATTTTATTGAGAAACAAATAGCAATGAGGTAGTTTCAAAACCAATTAGTAGGACAGTTTCAATAATTAATACATTGCATATTTTTGTCTTCTTAGTGGTTATTCGTTGTACAAGATGCAGACATGATATCCTGTCCAAACACTATTAGAACAAAACTTTCTATTCACTGAATTAAGAGAAGGTAGTTGTATATCTATCCTAACTATTTTGAATATACAGATGCTAAATGGTTGTTCATTCATATTCACATTTTTTGTTCAGTTTTGTCAGAGAAGGGTATTCCATTGTCATTTAAATACTATAGGTACATGAGTTCAGCAAAATATTCCAATGTACTCCAGTAGTCCATAATACTAGTGGGTTTTCCATAAGATTGGCAATACCAGAAGTTGTTGACTTGAGCCTTTTATAGCTCAGCATATTAATATGCCTTTACATTTTATACTTTGCTTTTATACTTTTCTGATGGTTGGTTAAGACAAAGATAAAGCAAGACCTATATAACAAGAAATGTAACTTTGTATCTGATAAGTTCAGTCAAATCCCCTCAGGATTTACCCTGAGACCCTGTACTGCAGTTTGTAGATCCTTTGTCAGTGTCAGGCATGTGGATGAGTCATGGCCTTTGCTTGACCCATTTGCTCTCTGTGAAAGCAGGAGGGAATGTTTTCTCTCCATGTGACTCTCCTTAGGCACACTCTACATCGTTGATCACATTCCTCTGTGGCCCCATAATCTCCTTAATCAAAAAATTTAAGACATAACTGTACTGTAACATCATGTAACTCAGTTGTGTCCCAAATGAGACATATTTTATAAACAACAAAAGAACAAGAAAGATTGTGACAGTGACTCCTAGATAATGTAAAGAATGATCTTAGATTAATTGGAATTGTGAGAAATGATAAGACAGCAAAAATAACGTTAAAAAACATGTGGGAAAAAACTGAAAAAGAGAACACTAGGCCAATTTTTCTAATAAATATAGACACAAAAAACCTCAACAAGACACTGGCAAACAGAATGCAACAAATCATCCAAGAGAACATATATCACGACCAAGTAATCCTCACCTCAGGAATGCAAGTAGGATTCTGTATGAGCAACTAATAATTTAATACATCACACAAATAGAAGCAAGGCCAAAAAACATGATCATCTGAATAGATGCCAAAGTGGCATATGATAAAATACAACATCTGTTCATGATTTAAAAAACACTGAAGAAAATAGATATAAAAGCTGTATATTACAAACGTATTGCCCAGGTCATATTAAATTGAGAACACTTGAATACTTTCCCTCTAAAATGAGGACTATAACAAGAATGTCCAAACCCAGTCCTAGCCCAGGTCCGGTGAGGGTGTGGGAGAACTTCCAGCTACCCTGCGCCTGAGAGACCTATTACTGGTCCCAGCCCAGGCGCGGCATGGGTGATACCCTCTTCCAACCCCTTGCGACGCACCCCACCACTCCAAGGCACCTCCCCAACCCCACCCGCTGAGTAGGAATTTCGGCCACATTCCAGGATCCCCCCAGACCCAATCCTAACCCAGACCTGCTGAGTGTGGGGGGGAGCTGACTCCGCCCACTACTCCAACGTGTCCCCTCCAGGCTAGTACAGGCCTGGCATACAGGCCTGGGGTGTAACCCTGCAGCTGCAATCCCTGCAGAAAGTGTAGATGATAGAACCACCCAGCCAGTCCAGGAGCAGAAAATCTTGCCAGAGGGGCACAACAGGTTC